ATATAATAATTATTTTTACAGCATATATAGATAATACATTCTCATTAGCCAACTCAACAGCTATAATATAATCAGAGGGCTATATAATGATATATAAATATATACTTCTGAAGTTTCAGTAATTTCTTCTAAAACCTATACATTTGAAGATATTTTTGAGAATATCACAATTAAGATAGCATCTTATTGTTAAGCAAATTTATCAAGAGCCCTCAAATTTTAAAAGTTGATTGGGATATTTTATACTTCAATCTTAAATAAATAAAGAAAATTACTAAATTATCCTTTTAGAGTCCTTAAGTAAACTGGATTGGAGAATAATCAACAAATGGGGAAACAAAAGTGGATTTAGATTTTAACAATTTTTTAATAATTCTTTAAACTTTCTATTTTTTGGAGTAATTTGCTTTAGAATATTTCGTTATCTTAATGAGATGTTTGAATATTTATTAAGATAACTTTTTTGTTTTCCTACTACCTTAATATTTTAATATACTTGCTGTCTTATTTTCCTCATCAGATCTATTTAATTGATAAATAAATCAGAAGTGCTCAAGTCTGTATTAGTGACAACAATCGCAAATAAAAATACAATTAATATTTTCATAATTATATTAATTAAAATTTGAATGTTATTTAAGCTTTTCACAATTAAAAATTAAGTTAACCTATTTGGAATAATTTAATTGAAACAAAGTCGATATGCCACTAATTTAACATTTTAGGATGTTTATTTTTTATTTTGAAATTTTTATCGATTCTAATAAAATAAATTTTTCATATTATATTGTCTCTCCAAATCAATTCGAAAGGTTTGTAGAATACAAATTCTTGAACAACCTTTCTACTTTATTCTATATTTTGATATCATTAATATAGAATTAAATGTTTTGTACATAATTCCTAATTTAACATGAAAAATAACAATTTTTCACAACATTATTCAATTTTTTTATTTTTGGAATTCACATGACTTTATAAATTATGGAAATTTAATAAGCATATCACAATAACCTAAAATAACTATTTCTGATTTACCTTTATTATTTTAATATTCATTTTTTTAATTATGATATATAAGAATTCCTTTAAAATTATTGCTATATCTATCTATAGCAATGATAATTTTCATATTTCTTCTATTTCTTGTTCCATATAGCATGACACAAGGTGACATATCTAAATTATTATTAGCTATATCCATTTAATATGTGTTTCCATCTTCAGTATTTTATTATATAAATTTTAATGTAATCGATTTAATGTATTATTTTTTGGATCATATTAACAATGAATAATATTACTTTCATTATAAGCAAAATTTACTCCAGTACTATAATCATAAGATCTTAAAATTCTATATTCCCCAGCACAAGCTATATAAACATTGTGGCTTGTTGATATATAGTTTGCATTCAAATCATACATAAAATCTTAAATGGTAACAAATGACAAATTCCTAATCATGCCCATATATTGTGTTTCTTTATAAGATATATCTTTATACTTTTATTTTAAAAGCGAATGAATTATAATTATTAAAAACTATCCATTTAGAACCCTTTATTAAAATTATTTAGATTGAAAACTAATTATCTAATTTTCTAAATTAGTAATTTCTTGATTATTCTCTAATTCTTAATAATTTGATTATTATTAACCCATTTGATTTTAATTTATTTAATATAAATTAATGATCAAATAAATGAAGTTTTATTAAATTTGAATTACGCATTTAGAATTCCTACATATATTATTCGAATTTGCTATTCAATTTTTTATCTAAGTCTAATGATATTTCAATAATTTTACTTACAATTTGTTGTCATTTAAAATATTCTAAATTTGGTATAAAATTTAAAGGATAAATAATCTAAAAGTATAGAATAATATTTAAATTAGGGGTTTATAATAATTATCATCTTAATAACTATGTCAATAAAGTTTCTATTTATTGAGAAAGATAAATCATATTAAAATTACTGTGATAAAATTATAAAAAGTTCCATTTTATATATTAAGCCAATAGGGCTTAGTTCCATTAATAATAATTAAATTATTATTGATGGAATCATGTTTTTTAATTAATGTAATAGAATTAAAAATAAAATATATTAATATGATGCAAATAATTCATCATTCAATGTTCTATATCGATTAAAGTTTAACATATATTAATATTTCATTTAAATATGAAATACCACTTAATAAACAATCTTTGTTCAACATCAAAATATACATTGATCAAAAAAAATTTTAATCTTTTTGTAAAATTTAGACCATTCAAAAATTAAAATCATAAGTGTTTAAATAGAAATGCGCATTCTCAATAAAAACTTTATTTATTAATTAGGAAAATTAGATCTGTTTTTTAAATATCTTCCCACACATCATTTCTAATACTTTTTGGTTTAAACTTTATGATATTTTAGTTCAGATAGCACCAATCTTAATTTAACATGTAGTGTATAACTCTTTACATGAAAAAGTAATAAGAAGTAACATTACTTTAATAAGTGAATTATAAATAGTTTTAATAATCTTATATTATTATCTTTAAATATCCAAAGTTGAATTTTTAAATTAGTGAATAAACTCAGATTGATTATGAAAAAATAATAGCTTAAACCATCATTTAAAGTGGTTTTAACTCAAATATTATATTTTCCATTCAAATTATACAATGATTATTATATTATCAATATTTATAATCAAAAAGCATTTTATTACTCACTTTTAGATAAAATGTAAAATTGATATATCAATTTTATTTAAGAGTAAAAATTAATTTTGTTCTATTTATAGTTAGCAAAAGACATTCACTTACAATAATATTTGAAATTTCAATTGTGATAAATCAATCACTATTGCTACAATGTAAAAGTTCATAAATATGAATAAGAATCCCTGGTTTCCAAATGTTAATATCTATGATGATTATACACCATTAATTTATATCTTAATTTACAATTCTTATATAATTTCTCTATAATTTCAGTTTTGTTCTACATAAAATTGATGAATAAGGACACATAAATAATATAGCATATTAGGAATTGCAACAACAATTCTGTACATTAAATCAATTAGTTTCCATAAATCAAAGAATCTATTTTTATATACTTAGATACTCTAATTTGAAATTCAAAATAAAACTTTGATTATCAATAAATTAAAGTTATTAACGACCATTTGGAACCTAAAATTATATCATTTTATTCTTCTTTGAATGGTTATTTATAAAGATGTGGGTTCAAGGTATTATTGTACTGTTATCAATTTTTTGTAAAGATTTTCCTTCAATTTTATTGGCTAATGTTGTTTTATTGTTTTATGAGTTAATCTTTTTCGATTAAATATAAGCTGTACCAATTAAAATACTAAAACACAGAAAATATTAAAATTACAGGATTAAATGAGAATGAGAATTTTCCATTTCTTGATGATGACTATTAATACAATATATAATTTATATAGTCTTAAGAAAGAAATAAAAAAAAAGATTGATTATTAGAAATAATAAATTCATAAATTCTAATTAAATTAAATTGATATTCCTTCTATTGGCATTATTGTTACATGCAGGTGAAAAAAATGAGATTTAATTTCACAATGAGGAAATTTAATTTTGGGACCCATACGTTTCTTTATGATACGATTTAATTGTTGAATTATTTATATGGTCCCTCTGAAAGAACACCAACAAGCAACTTAAGTTTTATTTTTTTTGTCTCTAAATCATATAAATTTACACAGCACTTAGAATTTTTATAATGTGATTTAGATCAAAGTCTTAGAAATATAAAATTTATTAAAATATAGATGGGTGCATTGAAATCTTAAATCCTTGTATGGATTTTTTAAGCGAATGTGATAATCAAGGTTCAAAATTTAGAAATTGTTAATTAGATAAGTAAATTTACATTGATCAATGTTAATCTTAAGTTAAATCAACATTCTTCTATGGTCTAATATTTTAGCTAATTTAATATTTAATAGGCTGTAGTAATCAGAACTAAATATTTTTATGTGTGTCTAGTAAATTAATGAAAGTAATAAATGATATTAATTAATTAGGACGTCTATCACATTTGAGTTTGGATGTAAACATTAAATATGGAATTAATTATAAATAATTAAAATACAAAGAAATCATAAAGTATAAGGAAATTATTATATCTACAAGAAGAATATTGTATTGAAATAATGCTTACTTAAGAGACTATAGTTTTTATTGAAAATATAATAAAGAAAAATTATTAAGAAAAATAATGAAATATTTTCAACAAGACTCTTGCTAAAACATAATAGCAAGGCTATTTTCTTAAATTAATCAGAAGTTTGATTATCTAAGTCTTCAATATGTTTTAGAATTGAAAAATGAATTAGTCTTAATAAACGATTTCCAAAAATTCAATATAAGAACTCAAATTAGTTTAATTATAGAATGAGAATAACTTAATTAAAATAATCTTTAGTTTATAATTCATTTAAAGGATTGAATTTATTATTTCAAAATGAAATAAATAATATCGATTGAAAAGTATTTTTAATATACTGATTGATCAATATTATGTAAAAGTTTAAAAAATAAATACATTTTTATTCAATGTTAATTAATTTATCAGCAAATCTACTTAAATTGAAGAATTCAATATAAATTATGAAAGTATTAAGGAATTTTATAATGAGCAACATAAATTAATCCAAATATAAGATTTTATGCTATAAATTTATGAAGTATTAAATAACTTTTTTTGAATCTTTTGATTGATGTTACTCTGTCACAACTAAAAAATCAGATTTTTCCTCATAATTATAAACAAAAAATTTTAAAAATTTCTCAGAACCATAATAGATAACTATTAATTTAAACTTAAATAAAGAAAAAAAACATTCAAAAATAGATTAGCTTGATTGATTGTATTGAAGAATATTCAATAAGATTCACAAAAACAGAAAAATTTGAATAAAAATGGAATGATTATTAAAATAAAATCCAATAACAGAATAATCAATTTAATAAAAGAATAACTAATGTATCAATAAAACTTTATTTAAATTTATCAATGATTTTTATACAAAATTGTAAAATGAATTGAAATATACTCAAAATTAATTGACCTATCATGCCGATGATTATCGAATTAAGACAAGACAACCAATATTCAAAACGATATTTCAAGTTTCAAAAGTAGAGATTTCCTTAATAGCTAAAGATATAAGTAATTCAAATAAATAAGAAAAATTAAAAGAAGAATATGAATCTCAATTAAATAGAGTCTGATTGAAAATAAAATCTAAAAATCTTAATATATTAATGTAGATTAAAATAATATTGCTTTAAAAATGATTAATCCTTAGATATGATAAGATGAAATAGAATTTTATTAAAAAATAAGAGTCCTATTATGTATTAATATCATTCATCTTAGGATAGATATGATGGTATCATTAAATAAAAGTTTTGCATCAAAGAATGTTAACAATATCCTTAACCAACAATTAATATCTAATTAACTATTTAATTATAAATGCAAGAAGCAAATATTTAGATCAATTTTTATACAACTTTTACTTCAAAAAAATTTTAATATTTTAAAATTGAAGAAAATAAATTAATTTTTCGTTTGAACAACTATTATTAAAAATTAAATCAAACTAAAAAGTTATTTTTTTGGAGATTTTAATATTAATGAAAAACCTTATGATTTTTAATTTCAACAATTCCATCTAATATTGAAACATTTTTAAGATGAAAAATGAATCAATAATTAAAAGTCGAACAGATCATTTTCTTTAGATGAATATTAGTTTTTAACAAGCTTGCTGATCATTCTTTAATTAGTATAACAATTAAATTATAGCCAATCATTAAATAATAGTTCTATTTTTATAAGTTTAGCAAAATTAAAGCTCTTAAATAAAATCACTTTAAAATTTAAGGATTTTACTTGCTTTTACAACTTTATTAGAAAGATCTCATCAAATCTAAAGTTGTGACGAAGATTAAAAAGACTATTATTTCTAAATTAAATAACAACAAAACTTATCTTGATACATTTGCTAAGATTCAAAATGATAGATAGATTTTCTCCTAAAAAATTAAAAGAATCACATTAATGAATCCAAAGCAGCTTTTTTCCCATTATCTTGATGATTGTAATTAATTATAGCTTGGAGATGCAGCTATCAATAATTGCTTAGAATAATTAATCATTACCAGATCTACTTTCAATCCCTAAATACTAACTTCTCTTTATCGTATATCCTAGAATAAGTTTTTTGAATAAATATAAATGTCTTCGAACATAAGTATTTCTTTTTGAAAATCTGATACTTTTATAAGGAATTGTAAAAACCCTTCCTTATTTTTAGATTTATTCTACTCTTGAAACAAATTAACTATGTTCTAAGGGAAGAATTTTGCCTCTAAATAAAGATTTCTCTGAAATTCCTACTAAGGATTAATCCAAACTTATTGCAACTTTAAGTCCTTTGTTTAAATTACTATAATTATACCTAACTCTAATTATATTTATTAGATAAATTTTATCAAGAGATTAAACTGTATTTATTTCATTTTCATCTACATAAATTAATATAACTAATGTTTAAAATTAAATGAATAGTTACTACAAAAAAACTTAAATTAATTGTCTATCATATATGTTAAGAGAGAACTATTAAATATTGGAATAAAATAAATATTAAACTACTAGGAATTGAATTATTAATCAAATTACATTATGATTTTCATTATATTAGTCCATGAACAAATGAAATATATTTCTTTGTTAATGATGTTTCATAATGATCTCCCCTTTCCCCTGCTTTATTAAATATATATTTGGAAAAGTTCTGATAGGAATGAAGATCTTCTGTATTATTTAATTATTAAAGTCTCCAATTTGCTGAAGATATACAAAAATTAATAAAACACAGAATACAAAAGCCTATCTTTAATAACTTTTAAAAATTTCATCAAAATATCATCTACATTAAAATACTTAAAAGTGGAATATTTCATCTCAATACCCATGAAATAAATGAACATCAGAACTGAGTTTATTTTCCTATTGTTTCAACTTATTAATATTTAGGCATTCTTATTTCAAATAAATGTTCCAATATTTAAGTCATAAAACTCTTCTTTAATATGATCGCATAATTAATCATCACTCAAGTTTTCATACTTCTGAATTGATACTGTATCTGCAAGGTAAATAGAAAGGGATACAAAACTATAAAAAGAGACTATTCTAACCCATTTATAGTTTTCAGTAATTATGCTACAATAAGTGATAGATAATTTTGAATTTGAAAGATATTTTGTGCTAATTTGAATAATAATATTTATTACAATATAATCACATAATTTAACTCAAATTTGAATAATTAAAAAAATTTTATATGCATTTTATTTACTTATATTAATAAGTCTAGTTTAGATTTTTTATACCATTCTTGAAACTTTTAATCAATTCTATTCTTTTGGAAATTAATGATCATTAACAATAAAATTAAAATTAAAGCAAGTTTTACTATTATTTTTGTCAGCTTAGTTCAATTCTGATCTACTAAATAAATTTGAACTCATTTTGTAATAAATATAAATAGCAAAAAAAACTCTCCTTTGATTTCATAAAGTTATTCGTAATAACTGGTACATGCCTATCTAAGATTAAATAGCAATTCATAAATCTAAATTGAACAAAAATTAAATATCATAATAATTATGATTATTTTAGATTTTTATCAAAAACAGCATCCATTAACCTCTTCATGGCAAATATCATTTCCTATTATAATTTAATATAATACTTTTGATAATGTTTATTATTAGAGTTGATTAAAAAACCTTTAAAAATACTACCAAACCTTTTTTTTCCAAATCTTAAAGAATAATCATTATACTCTAATAACAAAAGATTATTGTATGTATTATAATTTAAATGATAAATATTGGCCAAGCATTGTTGAAAAAACATAAAATTATACTACTATGCTATAAATTAGTAATTATGGCAAATAATAAAATAACAATAATATATAATCAAAAGTTAAATAAAATACGATAATTTATTTATAATTATTAACATCTTTTAAGGAAAATGATGATAAGATTTCTAATCATTTCAATATTTGTTTAATTATATTTCCAATAGCTAAAATAATAATAATCATCGATATTTTTCAAATAGAATAAAGAGTTAAAAATATTCAAATTTAGAATTTTTAGCTTAGTTTAAGGCTAGATTATAGTATTATTTTAATTAAAATGAAAACACTAATCTTTGGTAAGGGAGTACTAGATTAGATTTATAATAAATAATAATATAGTCCTANAAAAATTTCATCAAAATATCATCTACATTAAAATACTTAAAAGTGGAATATTTCATCTCAATACCCATGAAATAAATGAACATCAGAACTGAGTTTATTTTCCTATTGTTTCAACTTATTAATATTTAGGCATTCTTATTTCAAATAAATGTTCCAATATTTAAGTCATAAAACTCTTCTTTAATATGATCGCATAATTAATCATCACTCAAGTTTTCATACTTCTGAATTGATACTGTATCTGCAAGGTAAATAGAAAGGGATACAAAACTATAAAAAGAGACTATTCTAACCCATTTATAGTTTTCAGTAATTATGCTACAATAAGTGATAGATAATTTTGAATTTGAAAGATATTTTGTGCTAATTTGAATAATAATATTTATTACAATATAATCACATAATTTAACTCAAATTTGAATAATTAAAAAAATTTTATATGCATTTTATTTACTTATATTAATAAGTCTAGTTTAGATTTTTTATACCATTCTTGAAACTTTTAATCAATTCTATTCTTTTGGAAATTAATGATCATTAACAATAAAATTAAAATTAAAGCAAGTTTTACTATTATTTTTGTCAGCTTAGTTCAATTCTGATCTACTAAATAAATTTGAACTCATTTTGTAATAAATATAAATAGCAAAAAAAATCTCCTTTGATTTCATAAAGTTATTCGTAATAACTGGTACATGCCTATCTAAGATTAAATAGCAATTCATAAATCTAAATTGAACAAAAATTAAATATCATAATAATTATGATTATTTTAGATTTTTATCAAAAACAGCATCCATTAACCTCTTCATGGCAAATATCATTTCCTATTATAATTTAATATAATACTTTTGATAATGTTTATTATTAGAGTTGATTAAAAAACCTTTAAAAATACTACCAAACCTTTTTTTTCCAAATCTTAAAGAATAATCATTATACTCTAATAACAAAAGATTATTGTATGTATTATAATTTAAATGATAAATATTGGCCAAGCATTGTTGAAAAAACATAAAATTATACTACTATGCTATAAATTAGTAATTATGGCAAATAATAAAATAACAATAATATATAATCAAAAGTTAAATAAAATACGATAATTTATTTATAATTATTAACATCTTTTAAGGAAAATGATGATAAGATTTCTAATCATTTCAATATTTGTTTAATTATATTTCCAATAGCTAAAATAATAATAATCATCGATATTTTTCAAATAGAATAAAGAGTTAAAAATATTCAAATTTAGAATTTTTAGCTTAGTTTAAGGCTAGATTATAGTATTATTTTAATTAAAATGAAAATGAAAACACTAATCTTTGTTGTATCCTTAGTTGCTTTTAGCTTAAGTAAAAGACTTGCTATTGATGATCCAAATTGCTTTAAATACTTATAAAAATTCGGACCCCCTGAGTTTATTGATGGTACTGGAGCAACGAAAATGACCTTTACAGAGAGATATCGAATTTGGTCCATCCTAAACAAATGTTTAAGTTAAACTCAGATATTCAGATGCTGATCTCTTTAATGATCCAATATATTTTGGTCTTGTTTAAGAAGATGGAAAAACAGCAGCAACTACATGTCTTGATCTTAAACTATGGAAATTTACTTCAAATACCTATTCTGACCCAGTCTAAGTTACAGATTTACTGATAGTACCATCAAGTAACTTTGATAACAAATGGAGATATTATTCATTTACTATTCCAGGAGATTAATTATCAACTAGATTAGTGCAAACTAATTATTACGATTATTCCATTTTCAAAGGTGTTTATGCTATTGCTTATTATACTGCAGGAACTGATTAAGTACAATTTGTATTCTATTTTGAATTCTCTCTCTCTGTTGAGAGACATACTTGGAGTAATGGTGGTAGTAGTAAATTTTAAGCATCATTCAAACCATTAAGTTATGCATCTACAATAGATTGTACTCCTATTGTTGGAGTTAGTTGTAATCCAAAAAGTGATACTACTTTAAAATGTTGTACCGATTTGACATGCAATTAATTTGCAACTCCAGATTTACATTTGAATGATCAATTTGTTCTTTAATAAGTTATTACAGCTGGTGGTATGAATTTCTTTCTAATTGATACTGAGGTTTGGTATACTGCCAATGATTTGAAAAAAAAAGCCACAATAATATCAGTCAATAATAAATTAAAAAACTAAGTTATCATCTAGTTAAAGGCTGAAATAATAGGGAGAGCAGTCACTATTGAGGTGATCTCTACTTTGTCGATAAACTAAACAGGAGATAGAAGAATTCTGTTTTAAACAACTTACGATCCTGTAAACGGTTAAACTGATTAAATTGAATGCATTAAGGCTGAAGGATCTGATACATGTCCTACATGTGAAGGAGAAAATACTGCTAATGGAGATAATAGTGAAGAATGCATAAAACAATCAAATTAGATAACATTTTTTTTCATAGCTTTGTTACTAACATTATTAATTCGATTTATTAATTTATCTTCAATCAATTAAATTAAATCAAAATAAATCACTTTTCTAATTCAGCTTTATCGTCAATTTTTGTTGAAAATTAAGTTAGAAAATGCAGTTCGTCTTTAATGGCCTTAAAAAACTCTAATTCAACAAGTTTAAATAATGCCATAGTTTGGAACTGAATTAATTATTTAACATTTCAAATAGTAAGAGTTTTATATATATAACTTTAAGAAAATTGATTATACTAAATCTTTATTAGGATTAAGTTTAAAATAACAATAAAATAAAGTAATTTAATGTTGATATGATCATTAAGGATTTATAAAAGAACAATCATAATTAGAGGTCGCAATGGATTGTGATCTAAAAGATAACAGTTGAAAAATATGGTTGTCAAACATGCTTTATAAATGATAATGTTTTTCACATTTTAGCCAGATTAGAAAGAATAAATGCATGCAAATGAAATTAATAAAAATAAAATTAAATAGTATTTAAAGACAAATGATATTAAGGTAAAAAATGATGATGTANTGCAAACTAATTATTACGATTATTCCATTTTCAAAGGTGTTTATGCTATTGCTTATTATACTGCAGGAACTGATTAAGTACAATTTGTATTCTATTTTGAATTCTCTCTCTCTGTTGAGAGACATACTTGGAGTAATGGTGGTAGTAGTAAATTTTAAGCATCATTCAAACCATTAAGTTATGCATCTACAATAGATTGTACTCCTATTGTTGGAGTTAGTTGTAATCCAAAAAGTGATACTACTTTAAAATGTTGTACCGATTTGACATGCAATTAATTTGCAACTCCAGATTTACATTTGAATGATCAATTTGTTCTTTAATAAGTTATTACAGCTGGTGGTATGAATTTCTTTCTAATTGATACTGAGGTTTGGTATACTGCCAATGATTTGAAAAAAAAAGCCACAATAATATCAGTCAATAATAAATTAAAAAACTAAGTTATCATCTAGTTAAAGGCTGAAATAATAGGGAGAGCAGTCACTATTGAGGTGATCTCTACTTTGTCGATAAACTAAACAGGAGATAGAAGAATTCTGTTTTAAACAACTTACGATCCTGTAAACGGTTAAACTGATTAAATTGAATGCATTAAGGCTGAAGGATCTGATACATGTCCTACATGTGAAGGAGAAAATACTGCTAATGGAGATAATAGTGAAGAATGCATAAAACAATCAAATTAGATAACATTTTTTTTCATAGCTTTGTTACTAACATTATTAATTCGATTTATTAATTTATCTTCAATCAATTAAATTAAATCAAAATAAATCACTTTTCTAATTCAGCTTTATCGTCAATTTTTGTTGAAAATTAAGTTAGAAAATGCAGTTCGTCTTTAATGGCCTTAAAAAACTCTAATTCAACAAGTTTAAATAATGCCATAGTTTGGAACTGAATTAATTATTTAACATTTCAAATAGTAAGAGTTTTATATATATAACTTTAAGAAAATTGATTATACTAAATCTTTATTAGGATTAAGTTTAAAATAACAATAAAATAAAGTAATTTAATGTTGATATGATCATTAAGGATTTATAAAAGAACAATCATAATTAGAGGTCGCAATGGATTGTGATCTAAAAGATAACAGTTGAAAAATATGGTTGTCAAACATGCTTTATAAATGATAATGTTTTTCACATTTTAGCCAGATTAGAAAGAATAAATGCATGCAAATGAAATTAATAAAAATAAAATTAAATAGTATTTAAAGACAAATGATATTAAGGTAAAAAATGATGATGTAATAAGAATGCTAAGTAGGTGCATTTGATAAGGATAAAAGAAAATGGAGACTTTGAGATACAATAATCTTTTGAATTTGGATCTTAAAAATTATGTCAAAAGATCAGTGATGATGATGATGGGTAATATTTAATTCCCTCTCAAGATATGGCAAATTAATTTCAGATTAGAAAATATCATTAAATATGAATAATCTTCAAAATATCAATGTCTTTGTTTAAAAATACTTTATTTTATTTCATTTGAGGAATATACTTAGTGTTGTCAAGATAAAACCTACTCTTTTTAGTATGTTTATCAAATAGTTGATAACCTATTTTATTTGTTGTTAAAATAAAAATTTGACCATAAGAACTTAAAATATCAATTTAGAAGTCTGAGTTGTCAAAAAACAACAAAATTAATAAAAATAAAATATAAACCTTATAAGGTCAAGAGTTAGATGGCAAAAATTATTATAAAGAATCTTGAATGTTTTACTTATTTTAAATACTACGATCAGTTTTGATTTTTAATTTCTTTCTATTATCAAAAGCATTCAATTCCTGTAATTTGTTAATTTTATATAATTTTATACTTAATTGATAAATTAAATCATCATATTGTTATAAAATAAATTAATATTTAATCATTTACATTTTTTCAGTAGAATGTAGGATATCTCCAATTAATTTTTAGAATGGATCTTTTTGACTCTTATGGTTTTCAGTTTGAGATTTAATTTAAAGAAATTTAACTTAAAAAATTGCACTATTTTGTGGCTTATAATGACTGAAGATTTCCTTGATCCTTTTGTTTAGAACTTGAATCATAAAAAGAAGACCAGAAAAAGATAGTTGTGTAATTTAGTAATACATCTTAAATTATAAATATATTATTATTTTTTATACCTAAAATGTAAATTTCTGGATTGAAATATTTTAAATAGTTTATTTTTAAGTAATAATGATAAAGATTTATTTGTTGAATCATATATATAAATGTCTGATTAATTTATTTTATTTCATTATTAATTTTAATAAAACAATATAAATAAATTAAATAGAATAAACACCAAAAAAGGGATATATAAAAATTTAGAACATATTGAAATCTCACATTATGAAATATATAGGAAAAAATTCTATGGTAAAGGACAATTTGGAGCTATTTATGGCTGTTTAGATCAATAGAATCCCAATTTGTAACTATGTGCTAAGGTTTTGAAACTTGAATATGTTGATTAATTAATCTTGAAAAGAGAAGTAGAAATTATATAAGTTCTTATGTCAATCTAAAGAGAAAACAAGAACTTAATCTAAGTATTTGAAGTATTCAATGAGAAGTAACATGGCAGTGTTTATATAATCATGGAACTTTGTCAAGAAGGAGATCTCAAATAACTTTTGGATAAAACAAAAACTAACCATTCACTATAGAGGAAGCAGTTAAGATTGTTGCCCAAATAGCCAATGGATATAAGACACTCTATAAATGTAGAATAATACATAGAGATATCAAACCAGCCAATATTCTTATTTCAAATGGTGTCTTCAAAATTACTTGTTTAGGTATGAGACTAGTAATAAAAGATATGAATTATGCTCAAAATTTTAACACAGTTGGAACACTTGCTTATGCAGCTCCTTAATTATTTTTAGAATCTAAATTCTCTTCAAAAGCTGATGTTTATTCATTAGGTGTCATATTTTATTCTATTAATCTATGGATAATTACCTATATAGGCTAATACATACCCGGAACTATTTCTAAAATTAAGAGATCTCAAAAAAAACACCAAAATAATGTGATGAATAATGTCCAACAGGGATTGTACCATAAAATATTAGAGAATTAATTCAAAAGATGCTTTATTATGATGAAAATGAAAGATGTTCATATTCAGATATTTTTAATCTGATGTATTGAATTAGATAATTTCTAAATCTAATAATTAATAAACACCTATTGAAATAACTAGGCCAAAACTTCAATCTCAACCCACTTTTGCAAAATTCAAAAACTATTACAGAGTAAATGATATATCAGAAAATAAAATTCTTTAAATTATTTGTATCTTGGCTACTATAAGTGATTTGGCAAATATATGTCATAAATACTTGTAAGAGTAAAGTAAATTATATTATATGATTATTATTCTTAGGTCTGGTTAAAATTTTTTCCTCTTGAAATAAGGAGAATTGATATTTCTCTCTTTATCTGTCTCAGAATATAGATATGAATTAATGTAAAATATTTTAGGATTACTAATTAATTAATATTTTCAATTGAATCCTGAATTATAATAAATTATCTCTCCATATCAATTACATGAGAACTATTAAATTAATGATGTAAATTCTAAGACTTTGAAAGAATACATACAAAGAACACTCAATACATCTATTCTTTTTTTAAAGTAATATTATTATACTTATTTCTAGGAAGATGAATGCAAATTCTTTAATTCTGGTTTCAAAAGAAACATACCTGAAGTAAAGTAATTAAAGAAGGTTCTTGAATAAGATGATGATACTAATTACTTATTCTTTGCAAAAAAATTTTCATTTTTGTTAAAATCCTTTTAAGAATCATTCTCTTAAAATTTAAATGAACCAAATAATAAGAAGTAATATATATAAAGAAATTATGGATTATTGAACCTATTAAACCGAATGAATATATTAGAAACTTAATTTTCGATAATGGAATCCTTGAGGACTCGTCCTGCAGATATTTTATAATATACAAAAATTATAAGTTGATTAATTATGCACATTCAAGATAGTTAAAATTATTCCTTTTCTTCATTATACTCTTAAATAATTACACATAAATTATTTGAAATAAAGACTTAATTTGTTTTATTCTTTTCTCTTATATTCACTTAGACAAATTTATAAGTTCTTTATTGATAATATATATAATCCACTTTTAGATCTTATTATCTAGTAGCTTATTATTTTATTATTAAAAAATATATTACTCAAAATGAAAAAGAATAATAGTGAATATGTACTACCTTAATTTATTATAGAGTAAAAAACTAAAGAATTTAAATTATATAAACAACCAAATACACCTTAAGCTACAAAATTTTATAAAAGTAACTTTATTATTGAGATGTTTAATTAAAACAAGTAATTGCATTTATTATTTATATAAGAATTTCAGATAATAAATTATAATTTATGTTGCTAATGGAAAAAATAAAAAAATATAAAATTATAAACTGAATTGATATAGTTTAAATATTATAAATTTCAAGCTATCAAATTTATCTGCAAATGAAAGACGTAAAACATTCGTTAAATTGGATGGAAATAGAAAAGTAAAATTAAGTGTATTATTGCTTTTATCCAGATAATGCATTTAATATCTGATGTTATAATGATTTTTACATATTTTTATATTTGATAATAGAAAAGAGATTTAACTCTCTCAATTCACAATTTTTGGATTACTAAAATATTTTAATTCAATTTAATAATTTCTTTATTACAAAGAAATTTATTATTGTAATGTTAAACAATATCTATACTCAATTATATACTGTTAAGAAAATACATAAGATGACATGGTCTCTTATTTTTGAATAAAATCTATTAAATATATTGTTATAAAATAAAATGATCATACTATTTGTTACATAGTTAACTTTGCTCTTTTTTTTAATTAGCAATTATAATTAGATTGTTTTTTAGTAAATCCTGATTGTGATTTAGAAACATTTTTATAGACAGATGGAATATTTCAAGAAATAAAATGTTTAAGAGCTATTAAATTTGCTGATCAGTATTAAATTAAGCATATTAATAGTTTCATTAAGCATCCAAAGATGTATTAAAAAATGATTAATTACATAATATAATTTGAAGATGAACTTATTGTTAAGAAAACTCAAATTTAGTAATTTCTTAATTTAATCCTTAAGATATTAGGTAGTTAAAATTAGAAATTAATTGATTACTTATTTGAATTTCCTGAAGAAGAAATTTAAAATGAAAATTTATAAATACGCCAAGGATTATACAACTAACTCTTATCTTTCTTGGATAATGACTTACTGTATGTTACTTCTGCAGGTTATTTTGCAAAAGTTTTCATAGCATTAATTAAGAAAAGAGGTCTTGATGTATGACATATCAAAATATTTAGGTTTGGACAACGATCATAAAAAACAAAGCGATTCTTTCAAATTTAATAAAACCCATAGATATTAAGCATATATAGATACATCATGAGAAAATTATGAAGAGAAATTCTTTGAAGAAAATAATTATTGGAAAGAATAATTAAATTATTATAACGTAAATCTTATTATACAGAGATAGTTGATAATTTTTGTGATATATTAATTGAGAGTACAACATAGAGTATGAGTTCTCTATATTTTAATAATGGAGAAATAATACCTTTTAATGATAGAATAAAGAAACCTGAATTATTTACGTATAGGACATTATAAATTATTAATTAATTAAGTAGAAATATAATCAAAAGAGACCAAAAAAGAAGATGATGATGAAGTTTTTCATAATTTAGAGAAGGATTATTCAATTTTGAATAGATTTTACCAGAATTACCTCCAAATTTATTCACACAAGCAATTTCATTAAGTCTAATAGATCATCAATTTAACATTTTGGATTAGCAAGAATACACTTACTCAAACTTATACAAGCTCTTGTTTAGTAATTAATTATTAGTATACATAATAAGAACTAATGATTATAAAATAATCAAATCCATATTATTATTAAAGCACTATGACTTTGCTATTGACTTACTTTTGCTGAATTGCATTTTTAATAGCAGCAACTATGAGATGAATATTTTTAGTATTTTTTTGTTTGCAATCATAAAAAAAATAACCTCATTCAAGGCTTTTTCATAAAAAAGTAAGGATTATGAAGTTATGATTGCAATGGCGTAAATATATTCAATCAATTTAGATTTTTCTTTTTTTAATTCATTCATTCTAATAGTAAAAGAATAATGTTATGAGTTGACTGTTGCTCTACTATTTGTATTGAAATAAACAGCATTCATGATTTTATAAATATGTTGTTACGATATGGAGGAATCATATCCTTTTAGAATTTCTCATAACAATTCAAATCTATTTAAGTTTAATAAAGATGCCAGATTGCTTTTAAACAGATATAACTCCATTAACATAATGAACATACATCGAATCCCTTTAAATATTATGGCATAACTAATCAATTATTCCTGCTCAAACTCATAAGTTCCAAAAATTATTTAATTCGTTTGTTTTCTTATAATTGACCTTCTCGTATTAATATTTTCATAGAGAAGCCATTAGAAGTTTAGTGAGATTAGTGTTAACTATTATTGTTGTATTTCAACCAACCAGAAACTTATCTCCATCTCTAAATCTCACTCTGCCCGCTTACTGACATCCTGCCTTGAAACAAGCCTATTATATCCCATAGAAGATCTAATAGAATAAAAAGATAACCAAAAAATTTATCAAATTAATTAAAAATTCTCATAAATAGGTATTTATGAATTTTTAGATTTACTTACATTTATGGTTTGAATTATTCCAGTGGTTTTGATACGCTTAGAATGTGTATTCATCATCTAAATCATGTTTGAGAGCAATGCTTGATAATTTTAATTTTAAGCATTCAATATTAGATTTATTGATTGAGTATCAATTAAAGAATTTAGTTGATAACTCTATTGACTGTAGCCTTATGTGAAATTACAAATTAATTATACTTGATTTCAGAATAAAAGTCAGTAATGGACCTAAGAATCCAATTGAGTAAATACTTACAATCACATTCATTTTTGAAGTATATTTTTTTTATATGATTAAAAATATTATTGTTATCATAACGAATCCTCTCTACAAAAATTTAAGGATTTAATTTTTTTTGTATTTTTAATCAATTATTAATAAAAAGAAAAATATTACTTTTACCTCTAAATTGAAGAGATATTTAAAAAATGAAAAATTTCATCGCAGTTTCAAATACCAATGCTTCTCTTATTATTATAAAAATAAAAAAAATAAAATCTTCTTTTAAGTGATCATCATCAATTAGATGAAAACAAATGGAAAATTTCTTAAGATAAAGGTGTAACTATTTAAATATTTAAGCAATTGAAATCGTTATTTTTTTTTTTAATTTATTGCTAATTTTATTATTTCTCATGAATTTATTTAATTATCAGTCAATTAATGTATTGCTTTTTTTCAAATTAACAATACCAAAATTTATATTTACATCATTTTCCCAGACACTTATTTTGATCAGCATATCGTACAGAAAAATTAGATATTTAAGCATCATAAAATTATTTATTAATATTTATAGTAAATTGGCTTCTCCCATATTATATTATAAATCTGTATTTTAATATGATATTAAGTATATCTCTGATTATTTTAGAACAGAGTTATTAAATCATGTTGTTCTGCTAGATTCATGATTATAATTAATCAATTAATTAAATTAAATATGACATCATTGCATATTTTAGAATCTATCCATTATTTATTTATTAAGTGCTTTGACTTTCAAAACAGCTTTTAGGCAGTCATCATTGCTGATGTATTAAATATATATTTTAAAGACAAGAAAACTGTTAAAAACTAATAGATACCTTAGAAATTTACAATTGGCTTTACTGATGAGACGGAGAGAAAATTAGCCATAAATAAGAGGCAGTGTCATTTGATCTTGTTGAACTAAAATATATGGTGTGTTTTTTAAATGGATATTGGAGATAGATTTTGATGAATTAGTTATGTTAAACTTTTTATTTAGTATGAAACTTAATATTCTAAACAAGGTAGTCCCTGAGGGCCAATTTAGAGCTATAATTTTATTAATCACTTAATCAAATTATATGAAGCTTCCTTGGTCTCTATATTTTAGATATACATACTTAGAAACCTATTCTTATTTTTTAATTATTTATTATCCTATTAGCCAGATTTTCATTACATTCTTATTAAATATTTAAATAGCTTAATGAAATTTCTTATGAAATTAAAAATTAATTATTCTTATTTTTACTTACTAACTAACAAATTTGCAAATATTTCAATATTTCAATATAAAAACATTCAATCAAGTGAAAGCAAATATAGTTTTAAGGGATAGAATTTAATCCTTTCTAATTTAAAAGAATTGAGTATGATTTAAATAACCAATAAAAGTATTTTAAAAATAAATGAAGCCAAATATTATTACAAGATTCTAATCTTTATAATTATAATTTATACAATTAATGCTATTAATATTTATTAATATCACCTTACTAATTGAGATGATAAATTAAATAAATACATTGATTATAGTTAAAATTGTCTTTCTTCTGTTATAAAAATACTAATATTGTAAAATTATTTTTTATTATATTCATTTCAATTATTGTATAATTACACATCATATTTCAGTTCCACATTATTCTAAGTTACTAAATATATTACATCATTAGTTGATGCTCAAAAAATATAATTTGATTAATTTTATATCTATGAGATTATCTATTTGAAATTATGATCAAATAAATACAATATTTTATTATTTATAATCATTAAATTCCTTTTTTTTAGTCATAAAAAACTGGAAATAAATGGACATCAAATTCTTTACAATTATTTTGAAAAATCTACCTCCAATTAATATCTTTTATGTTAATCCACTAAATTTACTAGTTCTTATTTTTGCTCTCACCCTTAAGAACTAATTAAGCAAACTCAACTTATTATCTATATGGATTACTTAAATTTATTCAGCATTATGTTATCTTTAAGATTATTTAAGAAATAACAATTGTAAAACTGAATGAGATTTCATTTATAAACTCCTCCTTCTATCTAACATTCTTCAAATTATGTTTTCATTTAGTTAAAGAAATAAATTTACTCAATTTTAGTTTTGATTAAAAACTTTTTAATAGTATAATTATTTTGAAATTGATTTTTTTTTCAATGAATTTTGAACAATTAAGTAAATTTATAACATGTTTACAAAAACTGAGAGATTATGGAAAAATAGACAATTTTCTTTTTGAACTTAAGGAAACTTTCGGGTATTTGCAAGTAAATTTAGAGATTAAAGTTTAGGTAAAATGTCAATTATGAATTAACACTAAATTTATATCGATTTTCTATTTATTCTGTAAATTAATAATCAAAACTTTAATTATTATAGTAATAAATCCAAATAATAATGAGTTTAACTCAATCAATAATTTTTTTTCATTTATTAAAGTGATTTTATTCCTCCTCATGATAACATTATCTAAAAACTCTTAATTATAAAAAATTCAATAACTTTATTAGATTAACATTTTTAATGACATTATTGCTTTTGTTTTTCTTATTAGAATACTCAAATTTTGCCCCATTACCAGCTGCTGATGCTGATGCAAAATGTTCTTAAAATGATCTATTTATTTTAAGTAAAGCATCTATTATTAGGGAAAATTACAAAGATGTAACTTCATAATTTAATGGAGCACTTCTATCTTCAGCAAGAAAAACTATTTTTTGGCACCAGGTATTGAAAATAGCCGTTTAAGAAATTTACTGTATTACTACCCTCCAGATGTTCATTAAGGGCATGTTGTTGCCAGACTTGGCGAATCAATAATTTTGGAATTTTTATCAGCATACGAAATTAATACTGCAAGGTTTTTGGATGTGGGATATTGATGATAGATAAACAGACAGACAAGTATTAACAGTAGCACCTGACAGGATGACTGAAATAGTCATTTATGATGGTAATGCCCAAGCTAAAATATTACCAATTTTAAATCTTCTTTATGTTAATAATGTTAATAATTAAAAAAATATTTTTCACATATTTAGTTTTAATTAATATAAATTAATTTAAAAATGACTTTACATGTTGTAAAATTACGATAAATTGGTTTCTGAAATGAAATTTTATAACAGAGGAGGGAATAGTTTAGACCATTAACTTATGCCAATCATCAAAATATAAGCCTTTTATGCTTTTTGATTATATATATTCATTTATATAACAATAATTTTCTGTCATAGAAGAACTAGT